AGATTAACAGAAGGAAACTGGAGGAATTTTTAATCATCAGACCATAGCAAAAAATACACATGACATGCTATCATTTTTATAAGATCATGTTTTATTTCTTTGTTTTGTTGTTGATATCAGTTCTATGTAAGGTACCACAGGGAGACACTGAATCTGGATTGAAGAACCCAGTACCATTTGGTGTTCTAATCTGATAGGTTGCTGACAGCTTGTAATCATCTGTTTAATTAAATTTCCTGGTTCAGGAATCAGAAGTTATCAGAGCAGATTAAGATGATACTAACAGGAAAGCTGTTCACTAATTGTTTTTACTAAACTCAAGCTGTGTGACAGAGACAAGGCACGCTGCTGACAATGAGAAGAAGGCCCCAAAGGGCTGACTGGGGTTGAGGAAGTGATAATCATTCTGGGCTCCACATTTAAGGGCTGTTGACAAACAGGAGCCTGCTCAAATGGCGGCCTTTAGCCGGCTGGATACACTTACGTGTTCCATTCATTCTGCTTAGAAATGCCAGATATAGTATGCACCTAAAGTAGAATAAATAAATTTTAAAAAGAAAAAAAAGAACGGATTATAAATTGCTGCTCTGGGAAACAGTGCAGGCCAGGGGGTGGCTGGATGCTTAGAGGCAAAGTCTAGGGGGCACATCACTTGTGCTCCATCATCTCATCATCTCCAATGCAGAATGGCTCATAGTTCGGTAATTATCTAGAATCCTCCTGGCTGCAGGAGCCACAAGCTCAGAAGGCTACTAGGTTAGGCAGGCAACTTCAATGTTAAGGGGCGGATAGCTAAGGGATTAGGGGGAAACTGGAGGCTGAAAGCCTTTCCATGCCTCTTAGAACAGGCCAAACATATTAATACATGGACAAGAAGGGAGAGGGCTGAGGCTCAAACGCTGCCCACTTCCCTGTGTTCATTTTCTTATTCCTCAGTCATGGCTCCACGGTCAGAACACCAGATATGAGGCCTTGGCCAGATAACTATTTCTCTTTTTAAAGTTATTTTTAGAAAAAAAAATTCAACTGGGTAGACACGAGTGGCCTCCAAAAGATTTTCTTTCCTTTCTGAGTCAGGTTCAGCCTCACTGGGCTCAGCTTTCAATTTCTGTTGCCTTGCTGTTCCCCGGGCATTCAGAGGTCCTCTGGTGATGCCCCTCCATGTCAAGAGCCCCCCAAATTAAGCTGAATGACTACAGATAACTTTTTGGTACTTTCCAAAATTAAACTATTTCCCTTGGTAAATTTCCAGCAAATGAGCTCATTAATCTGAAAACAGGATGTGGCACATGAAGAGAGTGAGGTCAGACTGCCTGCTCTTTTCACTTACGCTGGCTTAGGGCAGAGAGGAAGGGGTGGGTGGGACAGAAGAGAGTGGCTTTTATAGGCCCCAAATCCTTGAGAAACTTTTCTTCAAAAGGCCCCTGTGCAATGTGCCCACCTTTGGAAGAGTCTTTGTTTCCAGAGTCCATGAAGGAAAGAATGGCCCCACAGAAAAACCAGTCTCTCAGAACAGGACACATGGGTAGTTACAGATGGCAAACAGAGGCAGCAAGCTGGCTACTATTAATGTCTTCCTCATGATTGGCATCTTAGAGCATGTCCCTATCAAAGGGTCCATCTGCCAAGCTCTTCCCCAGAACCACATTGCCTGACCATGAGAGTCATTAGCACTTCCATCAGAAACTGAAATCCCCATTGCACCTTCAAAGTGGCCAGTCCCATAAGCAACTAGAAGAACCTCAGGGATTGCTTGGTGCCTAGAATTCAAATAACTTCAGAGTTGCATTGTTTCTTTTTTAAAAATATGGACGTCTGTTGAGGTAGGGAAAAATCACCAGACTTAGGAACTCCCTTCAACAAACAACCCCAGATTTCTTTCCACATTTTTGCTAGAATGTTATTTCTAAGTTCACAATACTCAGGAAAAGGCAAGGTCAATGACACATAAATGTTTTCTGATGATGGGAAAACCATCAGACTAATTGACTCAGAGTCCATTAATTTTAATTCAGACACTTAACTCTTTGAACCCTTTTCACAGAGACCACATCTGGTCAACCTCCCATAGATTGCAGAAATTCTCTCTTAGAGGCCCTTGAGATCCTCTGCTTGTCCACAAGTAGCATCTCCCTCCCAGGTGGGCCCCCCTGAGGTCCCACTTTCACTAGAGTACCCTGTGTCCTGCAGCTTCAGCCTGTGTAGCGGAAGTTGGAGGACAGCAGCTCTGCCTCCGATAAGTGAGAGACTTACAGTCATGCCAGGTTAAAAAACACACAAGTAAAAGATAGTTCCCTGCTCTTACAATCCAGTTGAGAGTCAACACATAAAAAGGGATCCTAACACATAAAGAGATTGAACAGGTGCCTTTGAGGGGTTAAAACCAAACCAACAAGGTGGGCAGCCTCGCCCCTCCCTCCATCAGTCCTACTAAGACGTCTGACAGAGAAGGAGCCTTTGTCAAATTGGTAGTTTGCAAAAATAAAAGTGGTTTGTAGCTTTTAATCTAAAATTCTACCCCAACACTAAGTTCCATCACTATTTTGATTACTACATATTCATAAGGACTTAGCGATTGTGTGTGTGTTTAAATGAAAACAGAAACAGTTCCTTAAAATACCCGGTTTGTAAAAGCACAGTGCCTGGAACCACTTAGTACCATCACTTTACTGATTGTGTTGTGGAAATTTGAGCGGAGAAGAACAGAGCGATCAAAAGACACAAGAGAACCTCTTTATTGGAGGTCCGGTTGACAGTGGCCTTACTGCTAGTAATGGCCGCCAGCCTAAAGCAAAGAAAATACCTTGCTTATATATTTTCTCAGCTGGGAAGACAAGGCAGGAAATAGGCTTAAACAAAGACAGTTAATCATTGACTTGTGACACGTTTTACAACCTTGAGAAAACATACATTGTCTACTTGGTTATTGCGTTTCCAGGACTTGTAACTGGGGAGGAAAAACAGAATTTTACAGAAATATGCTTGTGGTCTGCAGGTACAAAGATATGCTTGATGTCTTATAACCGAAGGAGGAGTCCGTGCTGGGTCTGCTTTTTATCTAAACACAGTTTACAACTTAGCCTGGAATGTAAGATAAGCTCGGCAGCTGTGAGCGATCTAAACTAAGCCAGGGGAGGTTGCTTGCTTCTTTGCTCACTATGATAATTCTGGGACTTTGGTTCAGAGTTTATTATTTATTAAGATTTAATATTTATTTTCCCCCTCAATTGCTCCAACCCAGTAAGCTTGGGCCAGCCTGGCACTGTGCTAGGATCTCTGGAGAAATCCAAGAAGGGTAAGACTGGGATTTCGGGCAGGCAAGGGGACCAGGGTGGGGGCTCCAATTCCCGGTTTGTGTTTGTGTTTTCAGGGGGCAATTTACCGAGCACTAAACACGCGCAGGCGCCGCACCAGGTGCCAGGAGCCCCTCACGCAGAGGAGCGGCGTCCACGCGTGTCAGTTAACAGTGGGCGCACAGTGCCCGTGGCGCCGCAGACCCGGGCCTCAGCCTCAGTTTCCCCGCATGGGGATCGCTCGCCCCGCCCCGGGGCGGCCCGGGGAGCAGCCCCCGGCCCCGGCCCTGCCTCCCCGGTTTCCGCCTGCACGGCTGCGGCCTCCACACCCCACCGGAAGCTCCCGGCGGGGCAGCGGGGATGCGGTGGCAGAGGCGGCGCCGAGGTTGCCTGCCCTGCACCCCGGCGCCAGAACCGCAGGGCGGCTCCCGGCCCCCTTCCTCGCCCCGGACGCCCCGGTCCAGCTCGCGCTCGCTGAGGCGGGGACTCCCCGGGCGCGGCCGGGGACCTGGAACCTCGGCTGCGGAGCCCGCCCCCGGACTCACTGTCCCCAGCCTCGGCGCCCCGGGCGTTCCTCCCTCCCCGCAGGCTCCGGCGCTGCCCGTCTCCCAGCGCTGCGCTGGCAACGATTTGTGGAGGTGGCGACGCGGCAGTCCCCGCCCTTGGGCAGGCTCCCGGACGGGGCTGGGGACTCAGACAGGCAACCGGGCCTGCGGAGCCGGGCGGCCGGGGTTGTGCTGGCGCCGGCGGGCGCGAGGAATCACAGAGCGGGGCGCCCAGCCTCATCAAGGGGCAGCCCACGGAGACTTCCCAGGGGAGTTGTGTCTGGTGCAGGGGGCCCCGAAGGACGAGTGGGAAATGGGGACACGCGACTCAGAGACTCCTCGTGGTTGGAGCCGATGGAGGCTCAGCATGGAAGAGAAACGGGTCACGGAGACGGATAAGGAGCCACCAGAGACTCGGGGGAATTCCCCCCAGAGGGTGCGGGAAGCCGGGGAAAGGAAGGGATTCCGAAGGAAGGGCTGGGAGCCGGGTCAGGTGCCGGCAGGACGGCTGGTTGGATAGAAACTGGGACAGGCCCAGTGCATTTGGAGTCCTCGACATTCGTATAAACTTGGAGAGATGGTTCCCTGGCGATCCAGGTGCCTGTATAGACAATATTTTCTAGAAGTTCTACCGTTAAGTGAGGAGAGAGAGTCGATGTGGAAATTGGAGACGAGCATAAAGAGTGATTTGAAAGCAGGCGTGGTTAGAGGACTGGCTCTGGGTTCAGGAGTCCCCACTCACCAGCTGTGAGACCTTGAGCAAGTCACTTAACCTCTCTGTGCCTCGGTTTTCTCATCTGTAGGATGGGGATGATGATGGCAATACCTGCTTCATAGAGTGAAAATTAGATGAGATGATGTCCATAAAATTACATAATACAGCACCCAAAAGTAGTACTAGTTATTTTTCCCTTTTCTTATTAGAGCAGCTTGGGCACATTTTGATGGCCATGGGAATGAGCAGGTAGAGGGTGGTATTGAGGCCAAAGGAGAGAGAAGGGACCCAGAGATGGCGAGATCAGTCTTGGGTGCCTGCTCCCAAACCAGGGGAAGGAGGGAACAGGTAGGGCTGCAGGAAAGTTTGCGGGTGTGGGGTACACAGTTAAAGGGAGTGTCTTCTGATAGTCTTGGTGCAGGTCTAGAGGTCGTTTGCTATACAGGTGGAGGTTCCGATGTACACTGCGGCAGTAAGATGCCATGCATGCCCTCTTTGCCACCAGCCTGTGGCAGCCCCAGTATTACACCATGGCAGGTGGGCAATTTAATGTATCTCAGGTCAGATGACCTGCCCTGCCAACCTTTGAGGCTCCAGTTGAGAGATGTGAAAACACAGTATAAGCATAATGCACCACTTTAATCCTTTTCTCTGAGGAGCTGGAAGGCCTGTAGCCATCATCTGAGCCAAATGTCAAAGACTTTCAAGTACTACGCGCCACGCCACACTTTGACCCACCATCTCATTTAGTCATCACAACAATTGGGTGAAATAGGTATGACTGTCTCATTTTACAGATGCAGAATATGAGCTTCAGGGAAGGTAAGAGGACCTTGTCCCAGGGGCCACCGTTAGTAAGTGGTGGACCCAGAATCCCAACTCAGCGCTGTCTGACCTTAAAACCCATGATTTGAAACCATCATGAAAGTTTGCAAAACCTCTGTAGCAGCCCAGCAGGATGGAAAGGTGTGTAGGGATCATCTCAATTTGATAGATGAAACAAGAGCTGGGTACTCTGATCTCCATCCCAGGCACACAGAGCTTGGGACCCCACAGCCCTGGTGCAAATCCCACTCCACCACCAGAGGAGCTGTGCCTCTGGACCAAGCATCTTGCTTCTCTGACCGTATATACGGCTGCAGAAGAATTCCTTGCCCATAAACTGCTGCCCAGCACACAGTAGACATGCAGGAGCCATCGTTCTCAAGCTGAACTTTTCCTGAGAACATGGATCTTGTATTTGTTTAGTGCTTTGTTCTCCTTGAGGCAGCGACGTGGTGACGCCTGACCTGAGCATGTAGCCACCTATGACTTCCTGAGTGGGGTGATCGGGGAGGGCCCTGAGGAGTCTGTGGTCCTAAGGCCTTGGATTTCAACGGAGAGTCATGGTGTCACCGTGACTGTTCAGAATGCCATGAGGTGTTGGGTCATCAGAGGCCTTCCTGCTCCTTCTGGTTACCTCAGTCCCAGGAGAGATAGGGTCCCAGAATTTTAGAGCTCAGAGGCCACCTGTTGCAACTTCTTTTTTACAGAATGGGTCATCCAAACCCACAGTGAGGAAGTGACTTCTTGAGGTTACCCAGATGCTCTGAACAGAGCAGAGTGAAAGCGCCTAGAACTTAAACTTTTGGACCTGCCTCCAACACCCTGGGGATTTCCACTAGGAAGGTGAGCACCCCCACTGAGAATTCCAGGCTGCTCAGAGGTGCCAGGGAACACAGACCAGGGGCCAGCTGTGGCGCCCTCCTCTAATGTGCCCAGGGAGGTGGGGGAAGCCAGCGGTAGCCTGTGATTCTTAGCCAGGGGAACTCTCACTGTGCTTTCTGAGAGTCTGTGACATGGCTCATTTTCTCTGACTTGCTCTCTTGCTTTTTCTCACTCTAAAATAAAAAATGACTGGACACTCCTAAAGCCTTCAGTCACCATCCAGGGGATTTTTATCACCACAAAGGGTAATTCCTGCTCCATCCCTGCTGTGACTCAGCTATGACGTTGAACCACACAAGCCAGAGAGAAGAAGATAAAGTCATCAGACTCCTACTCACCAGAGAGTGAAGCCCAGGGCAGGACTCCACAGAGCTGGTCCCCTGCCCTGGAGGAACTTAGACAGGCCCTCTGGCCAGCCTGGAATCCTGAGATGGCCTCCAGCTCAGGCAGCAGCCCCCGCCCGGCCCCTGATGAGAATGAGTTTCCCTTTGGGTGCCCTCCCACCGTCTGCCAGGACCCAAAGGAACCCAGGGCTCTCTGCTGCACAGCCTGTCTCTCTGAGAACCTGAGGTGAGGTGATGGAGGAGCGGAGGGCGGGCAGAAAGTGGGTGCCAGGGAGGGACCCCTGATGGAAGGTGATGAGCCGAGGAGCCTGTGACCTCAGGCAAGTGACTTTACTTGTCTAGGCCTCAGTTTCCACACACCCTTTCTCACACTCCCTGACACTGCCCTTCTGGCTGTGGTGGGAGGAGAGGAAGCCACAGAAAGGCGTCGGCTCCCACCTATTTTACAAATGAGGACACTGAGGCCTAACAGAGAGATTAGGTCAGCTTTGGACGGTTTCCTGGCAAATGTGCCCTTAAACTGCCTCATGTGATGACCTTTTGTTTGTGGTTTTATAGCTTAAGAAGGTGGGAAAGCTGAATCAGGCAAGTGAGAAGTTCAAATATGTCGGCAAAGGAGGCTGTGGGATAGCGAGGAGAGGCTGTGGCGGTGGAAAGGCCAGCCGGGGGGTGGAGGAGCGGAGCTTGACTGGTTTTACCCCCAAGCTCAGGCTCTGATGGTGGATCTCCTGGTCTCCCCTTTCCATCCTTCCAAAACCTGGCAGAGGAGGGAGCTGATTGGAAGTTGGAAGGCCGAAGCCTGAGGCCTAAGTCCTGAAGAACTTCTACTCAGCTCTGCTCCTGACTCACTCTACCTTGGAATCCACATGCCCTCTGGGACCTCATTTCCTCACTTGTAAAACGGGCTATCTCAGTATCGGGTCAGAGACACCAGGAGCTTTGTGAAAACACAGGTTCTGGCCGGGCACAGTGGCTCACGCCTATAACCCGAGCATCGGCAGGCCAAGGCAAGAGGATCACTTGAGGTCAGGAGTTTGAGACCAGCCTGGCCAACAAGGTGAAACCTCACCTCTACTAAAAATACAAAAATTAGCTGGGCCTGGTGGTGCACACTTGTAATCCCAGCTACTCGGGAGGCTAAGGCACAAGAATGGCTTGAACCTGGGGGCAGAGTTTGCAGTGAGCTGAGATCACACCACTGCACTCTAGCCTGGGCGACAGAGTGAGATCCTGTCTCAAAAAATAAAAACCCAAAAACAAAACAAAAAAAAAAAACACGGGCACCTAGATGTCACCTGTTAGAATCTGACACCCACTCCTGATTAAGAACCTCCAGGCCAGCTGTTCTCTGAGGCCCCCCTTCTTGTTCTAATAGGCCATGATCCTCTGTTAATCACTAAAAATATGAAACCAAAATCAAATGGAGGACCAAATGAGAAGAGCAAGTATAGTCACATGTCAACAATCTCTTGCCTAAACCCTTGGCATCAGATGTGTTTTGAAATTCAGAATTTTTTAGAAAAGCAAATCAGGGCATCACCTAATTCCTCAGGCAGGGAATGGAGCAGCGCCTTGTAATCAAGCACATTAATGTTTCTGCAATGAAACCTGTAAATATTCACGCTAAGTGGGGCAGGTAAGGGCTATAATAGCTTCCGGTCAGTGCAGTCAGGGCAGATTTGGCAGCCCAGGAAGCTCACTGCAAACCACTGAAAAATGTGGGATGCTCGGCACTTTTGCGATGTAGGAACTGGCTCTGGGATTGTGAACGTACGCGATCACCACCTGCTGACGCTTCAGGCTTCTGGAGCTGTCAGGAGAGTGGATGGTGCAGGGAGCTAGAGTGCATCACTCCAGTGCTTTGTCCCTGTTTCCCCAGGAATGGCGAGGATCGGATCTGCCCCAAATGCAGAGGGGAAGGCCTCCAGTCTGTAAGCCCAGGAAGCTGTCTTCGAACTCAGGAGAAGGTATGTTGGCCCATCACAGAAAAGTATGTCCATTGTCTTGACTTTTCCAGGTTGAAGCTGAGCAGACAGCTGCCTGCTCCACCCCTGGCAGGCACCTCCCTCCTAGTTCTGAGTCTGGACTGAATTCGCTTTATAAGGAGTGAGGAAACTGACGTTCACAGTGGTGAAGTGTCTTGCCCAAAGCCACCTGGCAATAGACTTAGGGTGACAGCAATCCAGTCCGGGGTCCGCAAACTGTGGCTTATGGGACACCTCTGGCCTACCACCTGAGCAACGAGCTAAGAATGGTTTTTATATTTTCAAATGGTTGAAAAAATCAAAGGAATGATAGGCCATGCGTACTGACCTGTAATTTCTCGAGGCGGAGTGAGGCTGCTCTCTCACTGTGTGGTCTGGTGCACTGCTAATGTTCCCAAGCCACAGCTTGCTTGTCTGTAAATCTGTTTTCTGCATCACAGAATTGTTATGAGGCCTAATTAATAATCATCAAAAAAGTTATTATATTAACAAATACACACCCCTTGGTAAATGACAAACTGTTACTGAATTACATGCCTGTAATTCTGAAGTGTTAGAATTCAAATTACATAGAATTACATACCTGTGGCCAGGCATGATGGCTCATGCCTGTAATCCCAGTACTTTGGGAGGCTGAGGCAGGCAGATCACAACGTCAAGAGATCGAGACCATCCTGGCCAACATGGTGAAACCCCGTCTCTACTAAAAATATAAAAATTAGCTGGGCGTGGTGGCACACACCTGTAGTCCCAGCTACTTGGGAGTCTGAGGCAGGAGAATCACTTGAACCTGGGAGGTGAAGGTTGCAGTGAGCCGACACCAAGCCACTGCACTCCAGCCTGGCAACAGAGCAAGACTCCATCTCCAAAAAAAAAAAAAAGAATTACATGCTTGTAATCCTCACACTTTGAGAGGCTGAGGTGGGCAGATAGCTTGAGCCCAGGAGTTTGATACTAACCTGGGCAATATGGTGAAACCCCACCTTTAAAAAATATACAAAAACTAACCCGGAGTGGTGATAGATGCCTGTAGTTCCAGTTAGTCTGGAGGCCAAGGTGGGAGAATCACCTGAGCCCGGGAAGGTTGAGGCTGTCGTGAGCCATGATCACGCCACGACACTGCAGCCTGGGCAGCAGAATAAGGCCCTGTCTCAAAAAAACAGAAAAAGATATTTGGGGACACATGAAAATTACATAAAATTGAGTACTTGTAACAGAGACTTCAAAGCCCAAAATATTTATGTCCAGCCCTTTACAAAAATACTTAGCAAACTCCTAATCTAGATGGTTCAGTCTGCCTCTGTTTGCCCTTAGGCAGGGAGAGACCATGATCAGCTCACCTCTTGGGCTCTGCCAAACTGTGCATCTAGGGATAAGAGACACCTTTGGAAGTGTGATAGGCCAGAGAAACATTTTCAGGAGCTACAATTTAGAACCCTGGCCCTCCCCAGCTGACCCTCATAGGTTACACGTCCAGCTCAGAGGTTCCCACATGCTATTGAGGACTGATCCATTCCCATCAGCTCATGACAAAATGATAAAAATAAGGCAATTAGGCCGGGTGTGGTGGCTCACGCCCATAATCCCAGCACTTTGGGAAGCCGAAGCAGGCCAGATCATGAGGTCAAGAGATCGAGGCCATCCTGGCCAACATGGTAAAACCCCGTCTCTACTAAAAATATAAAACTTAGCCAGACGTGGTGGCACGCACCTGCAGTCCCAGCTACTTGGGAGGCTGAGGTGGAAGAATTGCTTGAACCCAGGAGGCGGAGGTTACAATGATCCGAGATTGTGCCACTGCACTCCAGCCTGGCGACAGAGCAAGACTCCGTCTCAAAAAAAATAGATAAATAAGGCAATTATATAAATGAGTTTATGTAAACTAAATTCTTTCCATTTATAAAATCAACCTTTACTCTGAGATTCTGTCCATCCTATGCATGTCTTTGCATAAATGAAAGGATGTAATAGTAGATGATAGTTTTTGGTAAAGCCTTTACTAAGTAAAATTAAAAAGATAGCAATCTTTTTGTTAATCTCTCAGGTTAAAAAACACACTTGTATTGGTCCATGAATTCAAGCAGGCAGGAGTTGCTGCTCAAAATCAAATCCTCTTGTTTACACATGGGGCCCTGGGACCCACAGAGGAGTCTCAGTGCCCAGCCACCCTCTCTGCCTCCACTGTGAGGTGCCTGGCTCCTTTCAGCCAAAGCCCTCTTCTTGCAGAAAACTGTGGCCCAGGGATCAGGACCCTGATGTCCAGGTTGTGCATAACTCTCTGCTTGGGTGGAGGCAACTCCCAGGCCCTGTTTCTGCATCTGTAAAATGAGAATATTAAGTTGGCTCTGCAAAACCTTTCCAGGATCTGTGATGTCCAGGTCACAGTAGCAGTGCCGGCAGGGCAGCTATCCCCCTACCCTTGGACCAGAGGCAAGCGAGTGTCCACACCTCCTTCTCCTTTCTCTGAGCTGGTCCCTCTCATTCAGAAGGTTCAGGGGACTTTCCTGTCCCACCCAGAGCTGGTTTTGAGCATTCTCCCATCTGCTTTTCAGCAGCCCTTCCATCCGCAGTTTCCTCAGGGAGTAAGAGTAAGGATCAAATGCATGTTCTTGGAACTTTCCACTCTGCAATGTGGTAAGAGTTAATATGACACGCTGATTGGTGGAGTAACTCCCTGACCCTCCCTGTTTGGCTCTTGGTGGACTGGCTGTGAGACACAGGCAGACCCTCAGCTCTCTGTGGGCCACTGTCCCCACTTGCAAAAGGTCTTTACCTGCTTAAATGCTCTAAGAGTATTGTTTTTAGTTTGTTTTATTCTTTCCTCTTAACAAAATTAATATACATTTGTTGTGTAAATCTTAGATAATATAGATATTTTAATATCTCTTAATCCAATGGCTTTTTTTTCATCTTTTTCAATCAGATAAAAGTAGAAGTGTTCTGATGGAGGGGGAGCCTGGAGCCCCCGCCTGTCAATTGCTGCATTTAACAATTAAGGGGTTCTGGGGACTCCTAGGGCCCTGCAGGGCACAGTTTGAAACTTGCTGCCTTAAGCCAAATGAAGGGACTTTAATGGTAGAATTACAGGCACCCTGACAGGCTATGGGATGGGAGAGGAAGCTGCCTATATTTGGTAGCAAAGAAGTCTTCTTGAATGCAGGCAGACCTCTGAGAGACATTAGCCCCCTCCCCTCTCTGCAAGGTGGCTTCCCCACCTTGCAGACTCACCACTGTACTCTGGGTGAAAAGCTGGGGCGGGGCAGCAGTCATGATCTGATCACCTACACAAAACCACAGAGGGGAAGGACCAGGGACTCCTCTCACTTTTACCCCGAAGGGAACTTTGGGGAACTTTTGACCACAGGAAAGTGGCTGATGATAAGTCAACCTTTTGCATGTGTGGTAATTCCTAAGTTTGCCTGCACATCTGGGGCAACCTGGGAAATGGAGGCAGGGTAGAGGGCTGGGCCATCCCTCCTTGCAGAACTTCCCATGCCATCTGCTTATCAGTTTGTCCTCAGCCTCTGACTTCATCAGATGATTATCTCCCGAAGAAGTGACCAGAGCCATGGACCAATTAATTAATGTAAGAAGTGCGTATTAAAGGATCAATGTTGACCTAGTTAGAGACTTGATACTTGCCTGACATGATCTTAGAAGTGACAGTGAAGGAGGGAATGACCAGGGGCTGGAAAATAACCTTCAGTCCTGTCTGCTGAGGACCAGCAAATGGATTGTTTCTCCTACTCTCTTCCCTCTGAGGCCCTTTCAGTAAAGTCAAAGGCAAGCTGACATCTGATGCCAGTAGCTCACAGTAATGCCTTCATTTTTCTAGAGTCAGAAAATGACAGGCGTTTAAACTGTCTAGTCCAATTTCTGTTCTGTACTGGACTCCTGCTACGTGGCTCCGTGTCCTTCTAATGGCAGAGAGCTCATTACTCCATGAAACAACCACACCCACCCTGGGGGGCTCTGTTGCAGCATTCTCCTCTTTCCTTGTACTGAGCTGAAGTCTGTCTCCCTTGAGGCCACGAAAGGCAACCTAGCCTCCTGTCCCATGAGTCAGTCCTGCCTCCGTGGAAAGACACTGAGCAGTCTTTCCCCAGTCTCTGTGCATTTGGGGTAAATGTGCTCCTGTTTATCTGTGTTCCTTGAAGTGTGATGCTTGGGAATAAACCCCCAAAACTTACACTTCTGAGCTTGACAGTGTTCATCTGTAATCGCTCCAATCCTGTGACATCCTGTGCGGCGGGTGGTGGCCATAGCCCTGCTTTACCAATAGGTAGTATTTTGAGGCTCCATGAGGAGGTGTGCCTGGACCAGTCACACAGCAAGTAGGAAGCAAAGCCAAGCTCTAACCCATGGCTCCTGAGCTGCTGGCATCTTCTCTATGCTGCTTCTACACAAGGAACCCTCCCCCAAATGTTTCATACATGTTTCAATAACACAGTCACCCTTTAGTGCAGGAGTCCACCCAGTGCTGTGGAAGAAACAGGAATGGGCAAGACTACTTTCAACCAGGAGAATCAGGCAGGGCTTCCTGGAGGAGGCGGCAGTTGAGCTGAGCAGAGGCTGACAGAGAGTTTACTAGCCTGGTTACAGAGGGCAAGAATGGGTGGACAGTGGCAGACTGACTAAGCTCCCCGTGTGACTGTAGAGTACCCCCTCAGCACCAGCTAAGATCCGAGCCCAAGCAGCCCCTCCAGGCATCCCTGACCTCAGCCTAGCGTAGGGGTAGGCAGTGCCTGGCATGTTCAGATCCTCTTTGTCCCATGCAGGGGCCGCAGAGAGGTGGCACTCATGCTCCCAACATCCTCTTAACACTCACATTCCCAGAGGCCCCTGGTCTCAGAATGGGGCCCCCCACTAGGGCCCACTGTGACCCCACCACAAAGGGCCTGGGTAGCCAAGGGTGGCTGGAAACACCACACACCCAGAGACTCCTCAGACCCAAACAGAAGAACAAGTGTTCCCTCAGGGCT